CTCTTTCCCCTACCCCAAATGCCAAGAGAGGCGTTGTGTCCCAGCCTCTGTTGATCAATTAACTCAACCTTTTGGCCACAGGGATTGGCTAAAGGATGTCCATGGAAGGCCAATGAGAGGCAGTCCTGGGACTTACATGGAGTAAGTGGGAAGCGGAACTCTCTTCCCACTGATGGGGTATAAACATATAGCTGCCAGAAGCCATTTGCTACCATGTGCAAAGAACCTGGCCAAGAAGAAAGCTAACAAAAAACAAAGGAGACTTGAGAGGTGAAATGGGGACAACGACTAGAAATCTAGCTTGAGCACTTAGACCCAGCATGACCTGAAATCACCAGCCTTGGCTTTCATTATTTCTATTTTATTGATGTATGCTAGTTCAAGTTGGGTGTCTAGCATTGGAGAGTCCTGCGTAACATGCATGCCAGAATATTCAGCTGCCATCATAGTGCTGCTGCGGCTCTTGCTTCCCCACCATGTTTCTTCTCCACCTGGAATGCCTCTCTTCCCTCTTGTCTCTCTGTCCAACTCTTTCAGGCACAACTCAAATATACCACCTCTCAACACCTACCAGATCTTCCTGGTCTCCAGAGAGGATTGGTTCCCTTCTTGCCTTGGTTTCCCTAGCTCTTCTGTGAAGGTTCTTACAGTACAGTGTCCTGATTCTATCTCTTCACTTCTCAGTCTCTTCAGAGACTGGGAAACATGAAGGCAGAGACCAACTCCATAGTATGAAGTTGGTCCAATGCCCAGGGCAGGCATGAGAAACCATCTGGGCTGACCTGACAGCCAGCTTTGCACTCAGCACACTCTGGGCTAGATGTGGCCCTTTCTAGCAGAGACCAAGGCTGAGCCATGGCCAGTTGTCTGTCTCCCTTTGACTTCCACATCTCTCTATTCATAACCGGATCTGATTTTTTTTACCAAAAAAATGGAAATTTGATATTATATTTCTCTGGGGCTCAAATACGATGAGCTGATCTGCTTGGCCTGGTTTGACTTAGAGGGATGGCCTCCCTTGAGCCAAGAGGGGAAGGGGCCTCGCCTGGTCAAGCTGCCAGGCCTCAATCTTTCATCAGTCTTCCTCCTCAAATACAGCTTCACACTGGTCCAGCCCTTACCCACGGAGGTCAGCGACGTAGTGGAAACCTTCAAGTGTCTGTGAGAGAGCCTCCTGTGAGGACTGTGAGCTCTGGAAGAAAGAGCAGTCATCTTGTTAGGAAATTTAATCCTAACTTGGGAATAGACAAACATGCCTGTATATTCTTTCAAAGTCATACTAGAGCACTGGTTTATAAGCTCCCTAGGGATCCTCTGACTCCCAACTTGGGAACTTGTTTGAAATGAAAATTCTCAGGCCCTGTCCCAGCCTTACTGGATCAGAATTCTGGGTGGGCCCACGGAGCTGGGATTTAATGAGCTCTCCAGGTGATTCTGATGCATGCTAAAGTTCCCGGCCAATACGCTAAAGTGATGTAACTTTGACATACTATTTATTCACTAATTATCAGGGTCCAGACTCTGAGTCACATTGAACTTGTAGAAACTTCATAAGATGTAAATAATTGTCTGGTAGAGATGCTGAGATTTCTGTCTGGGAGAAAAGATAAAAATATAGTTTCATTGTTCTGTAGAACAGTGACTGATTTTATATGTCCATCAACACTTTTATTCTAGCATTTTTTTCTACCCCACTGATTATATATGTAGTGTACCCCATTTCTTTTTAAATTTGCTATAGGGCATGTGCATTTGCCAGAGAGAAATGGGCTGGGAGATACAGAGTGAGAAAGTACCCCCTAGGAAGGATGGCCATGCTACAATCCCTTCTCTCAGGATATTGGGCAACTGGGCATGTACACACACACATCCAGCATGTTTTCTAAGCCACCAGGCCTGGGACTTGAACTTCGTGTCAGCCATGTGGGATCCAGCTGTGATTCAACTGCCTTAACCACAATACTACCGGCTGGCCCTGTATATAATTCTTATGCCCCCTTTTGAACCAGCTCTGTTATCCTGCTTCTTCCCTTATCCATGCACAAGTTAAATAAATTATGGATCTTTATAACATTTTGAAAATCATGCTTAGGCACTCTCATCCCAGCTGCACCGATACACAGACTAGCACTTCATAAAACCAAGATGATATATCCTGGAGCATCTGAGCCAATGTCCCTCCCAAGAGCTCCTATTCCATGCAGGATTCACTTTGGGCAGAGGCAGGATTCTATTGTCAAAAATGCATACCTTTCAGGTTTGTCTGAAAGTTGTCTAGGCAGTTATTATAGGAAATTCCCCTGCTATGATTTGTGCTTTTCTCAAAGGCTAATTGAGTACGAAGAGCCAAATTCAGGAGTGGAAAAGTCATTTTGAGAGGAAGGTAATGGAAAACTTCCAAGTAGTCTCTCTTTTGAGAAATTGCTTGATAGTATTTTCTTAATTGGGAAATTTATTTACTCATTTATTTATAATTTTACTGTAACTTCTAATTCATCAATAAGATGATATAAGAGAAGAAAAAAAAATCTGAAAAAGATAGTTGTCTAGGGGCCAGCAGGTGGCGTAGTGGTTAAAGCACTGGATTCTCACATGGCCAACTGTGGTTGGAGTCCCAGATCACGCAGCTTGAAACTCATGTTGGGCATGTGTGCATGGATATCCAAAATCCTGAGAGGAGAATGGAGGAGAAAGTAGTGGGGTATGGCCATCCCCCCAGGTGTTGATCTCTTGCTCCCTGTCTCTCTGCCGAGTGCATGCGTCCTATAGCAAAAATCTCTCTCAAAAAAAAAAAATAGAGAGAGAGAGAGAGAAAGAGAGAGAGAGAGAGAGAGAGAGCTGTCTGATCCCCAAATTCTAGAAAATGTTCATCAGAGCACAAGACTAGGGCACCTGATGTGTACCTGTTGGCCAAGTTTTTGTTGGTTTCTTCCTCCGGTGAACTGGCATCCCCAGTCAGGACAATCGTGGGTGGACTATAAGAGACTCCTGTAGAGGGAGGGCCCTGATAGTTAGAATAAAAACATTGACAGTGTTAGACTTGGGCTGATGGGAGCTTCCAAAGGCTGGCACTGGAACATTTACTCCATATTTTGACATTCAGAACCATCTCTATCAGTAGACAAATGCCGCTTATTTTTTCTTTCAGCTTTATTTAGGTATAATTGACAAATTACAATTGTTTATATTTAAGGTGTATAATGTGATGTTTATATATATATATATATATATATATATATATATATATATATATATATATGAAGGAACATCAAAACATTCACAGAAAAATGAAGTTATATATGAATTTATTTTGATGCCCCCCCAAGTTAAAATCCATACAAAAAATTATTTCAAAATATGCATTTTGCATAAGCATTTTGAAGATACCATGTAATTATGAAATGATTACCACAATCATGGTAATGAAAATATCTACCACCTCCCATAGTTACCTTTGTGTGTGTGTGTGTGTGTGTGTGTGTGTGTGTGTGTGATGAGAATATTTAACAAATTTCAGGTATACAATATGTTCTGATTTGCTATAGTTACAGTACTGTACATTAGTTATCCAGAATTTATTCATCTTATAACTGAAATTTTGTACCATTTGACCAACATTTTTCCATGTAACCAACTCCTTTTCTTCCACAAGAGAGAGAGAAAGAGAGAGATACAGGCATTCCCAACACTTCATACTTCACACTGATCTAGCCCAGATCACAAGCATGATATTAGTCACATGGAAGCCACATGGGAAGATCTTGGGTTTGTGTCCTGAGGTCTCCCTGTGCATTCTAGGCATGCACTTGGCGCAGGACTGGCGCAGGCTGGGGGTGGGTCGTGGCGTGAAGACCCTGTTAGGGTACCTGCCTCTCTGTCTTTCTCTCCACCTCTTTTATGGAAGAGATGAATAAGTAGACCTTAAAACAAAAGATGATCTGTTGAATGTGTACTGAAATACAGTTTAATTTTTGTTAACATTTAGTAAAAACATTCATCCAAAGTATATATTTTTGAAAGTAGAACAATTACTGGCTTGTCATTAGTTCTTAAGGGTATTATTTCACAACTACTCAGTAAATAACAGTCAAAATGACAGTTATTACAAGTGGGGTTGGTGAAGTTGTGGTGTAATTCCTACACTCATATGCTGCTGATGGGTGTGTGAACTTTAAATTCAAATCAAGAGTATAATAAATATTTGTTGAGTAAACAAATGAATAAATGAATGAAATAAAAACATTATGAAATGTATTCATAGCTGGAGCAAGAGCATGGACTATGGTATATGTACAAAAAGAGAGGCTAGGGGCTTGGGGGTAGTGAGGGAGCAATGTGAAACTAGAATAAGAGGTTGAGCCAGCTCTTACAGGACCATGAATGCTACTCCAATGAGTTTGATCTTTTTGGTTTTGGAGATGGGAAACTCTCAAGATTCAGCTTGGGAATAACTTTAAAAGAAAACATAGAAATGACGGCAACCGATTCACACATGAATCCTCAAGATTCTTGTTGGTTGAGATGATGGAAGAGGCCCAGTTATTAGAGCATTCATCCTGCCCTTTAGAAATTCTGAGGAGTCTCCTGGTTCACCAGAGCTTGGTCACTCTCTGGACACCCACAGTTGGACAAGGTGGAGTGACAAGAAGTCAGCATGTTTCTTGTAGACTGGCCAGCCTGGTTTTCCAGAGCACAGGTTCATGCTTAGTCTCCCCCACCCACACTGTGTTGATGGCCTCAGGCATGACTAGTACCATCAGAACTCAGAGGTATGCCTCTGTTTCCAAGAGTTTAATATATTCAGTTATCTAAGTAAGTAGAATATAGATTTTATTTTTTATTTATTTATATTTCTAGAGAAATGTTTGCTATAAGGTGTGTGCACTTGATGGAGAGACAGAGAGAGACAGAAATCAAGAAATCACCCCCTCAGGGGTGATTTGGGATCAGCTATGCCTGATCCCTTCTCCATTCCCCTCTTAGGATTTTGGGCATGTGTGCACACATGCCTGGTGTGAGTTTCAAGCTGCCAGATCAGGGACTCAAACTACAGTCAGCCATGTGGGAGTCCAGCAACATAACCATTATGTCATCTGCTGCTCCCAGAATATGAATCTTATTTTATTCTATTTTATTGACACATTACCTAATTCCCAAAGCAATTTGAAGTAACCAATAATAAAACATAAGATATAAAAATGAGACTATAAAAATGGGGGAACAATTTGAAAGGCATAACTACTCCTGGCAGATAAAGAGAAGGCCTGCTCCTAACCATTGATGGTATGCTCTGAAGTTTAAGTAGTTGCCCTGAAACCTAATGAAGTGTGTGATCCCTGTGCTCCAGGCTCTGAGGAAGATTGCTTTGGAGAATTGCTCAACAGACAAAAAAACAACCAACCTAAGAACATTTTTCTTTACTCACACTTCTCAGAGGGCATGAAAAGGGAACCAATCTTAATCCCATCGTCACCTCTCTTCTTTTTCTTCCCACACCTTCCTCCCACTTTCAACTCTGATGACTCCTCACTTGTTTACCTTCGCACCCAAATCTTCTCTAACTTCTCTATTTTTCTCTCTCTCTCCAGCGTGTACTTCCCCTGGGAGAAGCAGGGCACGGTGCTGGCCCAGAGTTCAGGAAAGGGATGGAGTCTGTGAACACACCCACTTTACTATGCCTTACTCTGTCCATTCATCCAACACACATTTGCTGACAGCCTAGTGTGTGCCAAAAGTTATACTAGAGTCTGAGGGCAAAAGTGGACCAGGCAGGCTTCGGCAATGCTTCCTGTTAGCACAATGGCATGGGAGAGGTAGGGAAGTGTCTTCCCCCATGACTGATTGTGCCCTCAGAGGGGGCACCCACGAGGTCAGCAAGACATTGGAGCGAACTGCTTTCTGGTGGAACATTCCTCTGCTTGCTGGCTAAAGACCACTCTCAGCAGAACTCTCCTAAGGGGGCTGCCATGCATGGGACTGCAGACACCTCACTTGGAGGAGGATCAGAAGGAGGAACCCACATGGAAAGGCAGAAACAAGCCGGGGTGGCAAGTGTCAAGCAAGTAATCACAGACTTGAAATTCCAAGCTGCTCTTAAGCCAGGAGGCTTGAAGCAATCAGAAGGAAATCCTCTAATCCCTGTTTGGAACATCCTGTAAATTTCTTCCCTCTTTCCTTCCAATGTGTACAAAACACACAAGAAATAAAATCAAAATGTTTTTTTGCTAACTAGCTCACAGAATGGTTGAGCAAGCTCTGGGCCAATTCTCTTCATTTTCTGGAAAACTATGTTCTGTGGGAACTGCCATGTTTTGTGTAGGCTGTTTTTCATTCTAGCACAGACTAGGGAGACAGTAATCCAGGAGAGAGAGTGTGGGAGGATTCCAGGGGCCCTCCAGAGTGAATTCTGCCAGATTTTAATGCACTGTGAATATCCATCTCTGCTCTCACTCTGAGCTGCCAAACAGAAGGCAGGCCCTCAGGGAGGCTCTTCGGGCAGCACGACCCAAATACAGTGTCTGTCAGGTAGGTTACTGCTGCAGGATTTCAGAGGGCCTCAGACTTGGGAGGCACACTAGCTTATGCTACAGTGTCCCTTTCTAGCTGTGTGACTTTGGGCAGATTACCTTGCCTCTCTGTGCTTCAGGTACCTTATCAACTATCTCACAGGGCAGTTAGCAAAAATGGAATGGAATGGATGTAGAATTTTCATATAAAATACGGGTGCCCCAGTTACATTTGAATTTAAAATAAAAAGTGAATCTATATACGCACATATACACGCAAACATGTATTTTTAATAGAAGTATTTCCCTCATGTTGTATGGACAGAACTGTATTTTTATTTGGCAAATTTGGGAACCTGGCCCCTAGTAAATGCTCACAGATGTTATGGTCCATTGTTAATACCTTTGGGATTGAGTCCGTTATTAATACTGTGGATTGTTGTCCTTAGTTCTGGGTCTGATCAACCAGTGGGACAAAGTTAGGAGGTTTTCCTGTGGTCATGGAAGCCACAGGACATCCCCAGGGGCACCTGACCACTGAAGCCCATGTAATCAGTGACTCGCACAGAAGCCCACCTCCAAGGAGCCTGCATCTGGCCCCAACCCATCTCCACCCCTGCTTCTCAAACCAGTAGCTGCCCTTCGCGGGTTACAGACCTGGGAAGTAAGGAAACAAATGAGGGTAGAGAGAAGTGACAGGTCCTCAGACCTACTGTGCGCTCTCCCGCCTGACATTTCTGTTGTCTCGTTTACTGCCCCCTACAGTTCTGTGAGTGCACCTCAGGACATTGACCTACAAATCGGGGCGATACCTCCTGCTCTCAGAATCGTAAAGAGGAAATTAGAACGTGGAAGTAAAAGGCCCTGAGCATGGAGTAGGTGATTGATGCCGTTCTTCTCTCTCCCGCCTTTTCCTGACTCAACCCTCACTCACGAGCAAAATAAATACCTAAATAAATACAACTGGCTAGTGCCGGCTGTGCCTCTCCTAAGTAGCACATGTGACTAGAACACGGGCTTCATCCCTCCCATGACACCAGCTGCCTCCCTGGTCTTTGGTCTCTCCTCCCTGGCTCCTGGTGTCCTAGAGGCCGCCAACACCCTTCTCTTACTCTTCTAAGCTGCACGCTGTCTCACAGAAAATGCCTCTTCCCCCAGGAAGCACTTGAGCGAGCATAAGGTGGAACACACCACTGCAGGAAAGACAGCAGGGCAGAGGGCGCCCACTTACTTCCCCTCTCCTTGGCCCCTGGACCCAGCCTTCTGGGGATCCACTTCCCGTCTCTGGAGTTAGCCATGCACTGTGGGCTGGGCCATCTCCTGGCAAGCTTACCCCATAAGAAGCCAGCAGGACACATTTTGTTCTCCTTAAGTAAATTTTATAGAAACATTTAAATGTTTATTTCACTCATAAATTCCCAGGAATGCACAACATTTTCCTGACAGCCTGGGCACAGGGATAAATATAGGCCAGTGTCATAGATGGGAATATTTCCTT